ACCTCCACGTTCTGCAGAAAAGCCTGAGTGCTTCCCTTCAAGTGGACTTTCTAGAATTCTCACAAGTTGGGCTGGGATGCTGGGGGGTCCCCTTCCTCCCAGAGACCCCGGCCACAAACTCCAATCCTGCAGTTCCAGCTACCCAGCACACTGCAAACACGGAGCAGGGTGGAGCTTGGACATGTTCTGACCACTCAGCACTCATCCCTCCACTGCCCTGCAGTGCCCCTGGCACGGCACGGCCAGTTGTGTCATCCAGGAGGCTGGTGGTTGTGTGACACCTCCAGAACACAGTGCTGCTGCTTGACATCCTTGTCAACATGACAGACAGGCAGGTTCATGGACATCAAGTGTCCCCATCTAAATAAACCACTGCATCCACTGTTCTCGAGTGTGCATCCAGATGGGCGAGTGTGTCCCCAGGGACAGTGTGGCTGGTGGTCAGCTCCACTCCCCCGTGGGCTGCAATCAGGATGCTGCCCACAAAGCCACATGCTGTGGCCAGGACAGGCTGGGCATTGGGCAGGACTGTCTGCCTTCCAAAGGCCCTGTCCCTGCTGTGCTCAGTGGGGGTCACCCCAGGGACTCCTGTAGCTCTAGGGAGGGTGTGGGCTCCATTCTGAGGCCCCCAGGCTGGGAGCAGGTGCAGCCCCTGGTGCAGGCCACATAGGACTAGCCAGGAAGCCATGGTCAGACTCCCAAGGTGTCAGGAGACAGGTGTGGTCTGAGGACTAAGCCCCCTCCTATGCTGCCCCAGAAGCAGGGAAGCCACAGCCACCACACCACACGTGGCCAGGCAACAGCCTTTATCTGCTAACCCCATTGGGAACTGCATGGCATGGGGAGGTCAGGGGCTGCCAGGGTCCTGGATGGAGGGTGGGGGTCCCTGGTGATGGATGTTCTGGGTCTTGAGGTGTCCACACCCTCGACTCAGCTTCACAGGATGTGGCCACCTTGGCAAACTGAGGGTGGGGGAGGGGAGCAGGGACCTCTGACCCTGTCACCAATGAGCATGAGTCTGCATTACCTCAACATCAAAACACTTGTTACAGATAAATAACTAAAAGCCAACTCACCGTGCCCCTGAGCATCCCCAACAGGAGCACACAGCTGTCGTGGGGACAGCTCTCTCTGTGGTGGTACCAGCCTGCAGCTGACATCGGACACACTCATGGGAAAGGGGCCAGGGATGCGGGCATGGCCAGGCCCCAGGTTACCAATTAACAGAGCTCCACCGGCTTTCCTTTAAATAAACCAGAGGATGTGACGGAGGGGACACTCAGGCTCTAGGCCAGCAGAGGGTGCAGGTGCGGTGTGGTCTGGATGCTCCCAGAGACACTGGACCACTATGGCCCAGGACCTTGGCCCAGATCCAGCCTTGGACGCATGGGAGGATGAGAGGCCCCAGTGGGACAACAAGCTCCAGTACATGCTCAGCTGCGTGGGGTTTGCTGTGGGGCTGGGGAACATCTGGAGGTGCCAGACCCACAGTGGAGGTGAGCCTGCCAGCCACATCTGGATACCCAAGGGACTGGCCTTCCCCACCCCTGACCTCTGGGCAGCACCACTGTCCCAAAAAGCCAGACATGTGGGGCCCCAGGAAGAGCCCAGCCTTGGCATCTGAGCCCTGGGGACTTCAGGGGCCTGCACATGGGGTCCCAGGCCAGCATGCAGCTCCATTCCCAGCGGCGCTGCCCCTCAGTGTGGAGCCAGTATCCAGGGGGCGATCACCCTGGTGTCCATGTTCATGGGGGCTGGTGTCTCCCAAGGCTCCTTGCAGGATGACAGGAGCCCCGGGCTCACCAGCAGTCACAGCACACGGATGCACCTGTGTGGCCCACACATGTGCACCAGCCAGGGGCTGCTGCCCTCAGGGCTGTCATTGCCCAAGTGCCCCCATGTGACGGGCAGGCCTGGGACACACAACCCTCTCCAGTGAGGAACCTGGGGAGACTCCCCCAGGGGCCAGGGCCTCGGGGATGCAGAGGTCGGGGGACGGGGCTTCTCATCAGGGATGCAGGCGAGGGAGGAGTGGCCGCCCCAACATGCTGCTATGGCACTTGTTTCCAGATGCGGCAAGCATGGCCAATCATGCCATAACATTCTGTCTTCTTACTCCCCGTTCCTCCCCGGGCTGCGCTGACGGGTGGTCTCACCCCAGCCACTCAGTGCCCATCGCCCATCACTCAGAATTTTGTAAAGAGTGCCCCCACATCTTGCACAGCCACACTCACCCTCCTCGCTCCTGGGCAGTTCCAGGGTCTTCTGAGCTTGTGGCCCTTCCTCATGCTCATGCCAGCTCCTGTTCCAGGTGTCTGCTTGCTGGCTCCACCTGTCTACACTGGCTGTGCCCACTCTACCTGTCCACACTGGCTACACACACTCCTGTCCACACTGGCCACATACACACTGTCCACACTGGCTGTGCACACTCCACCTGTCCACATTGGCTGCGCCCACTCTGCCTGTCCACACTGGCCATGCCCACACTGCCTGTCCACACTGTCCACACTGTCAACACTGGTTGCACACACTCTGCCTGTCCACACTGGCTGCACATACTCCACCTGTACACACTGGCCACTTACACATCTTCCACACTAGCTGGGCACACTCCTGTCTACACTGGCCACACACACTCCGCCTATCCACACTGGCCACTCAGACAGCCTCTGAATCTGCCCCACAGTGCTGCCCGGCTGGTTTATTCTCCCATGAGGCTGAGCATGCAGCCAGCAGCTACACCAACCACACCCAGCCAGAACCCGGGCTGGCCACTGGCAGCATGCCAGGTGCCCCAATGGGGAGCAGAGGGTGGCCACCCCTGACCCCTGTGTCCTGACAGGGGCCTTTTTCATCCCTTACTTCATCGCCCTGGTATTTGAGGGGATCCCACTCTTCCACATCAAGCTCGCCATTGGCCAGCACCTGCACAGGGGCAGCATTGGAGTGTGGACAGCCATCTCCCCCTACCTGGGCAGCGTAGGCAGGCCACCCCCTTCTCGGCTCCCCAGGAGGACCCGCTCTGCGCATGGGTGGCACTGCTCCTCCCCTGCTGTGTGACACTTTGTCCTCGCTGTCTGCAGGGCTGGGCTGCCTCACGATGTCCTTCCTGGTCAGCCTGTACTACAACACCATCCTCACCTGGGTGCTGTAGTACTTCCTCAACTCCTTCCAGCACCCATTGCCCTGGAGCCACTGCCTGCTGGAAGGCAACAGGATGGGTGAGGGTGTGGCCAGTGTGGACAGGTGACCTCTCCTGTTCACTGGTCCCCGCTGGACCCAGGGACCACCCAGATCCCCATCCGCTCACACACCAAGCCCTGGGCCTCCCTTCCCCATCTCAGCCTCAGAGCGAGGTGAGAGAGCACAGCTGGGCTGGAGGGTGGGGGCCGCTTCAGTGCAGGGTCAGCCATGCTGGTGCCCGTGGCCCTGCTGGCTTTCGAGGCAGAGCGTGCACTGGGCCCAGGCCCTGTGGCCGGCCCGTGATGGGACCGCTGGCTGCAGGGTTCGTGGCGGAGTGCCAGGGCAGCAGCACCATGAGCTACTTCTGGTACCGGCAGATGCTGGACATCACTGCTGACATCAGCGACAGTGGCACTGTCCAGTAGCGGCTGCTCATCTGCTTGGTCATCTGCTGGGCTGTGGTGTATCTGTGCATCATCAGAGGCATTGAGACCACTGGGAAGGTGAGAGCAGCTTCCTCCAGCTCCGAGGCCCCCTCCCCATGCTGCCAGTGTTGGCTCGGCATGGGGGAGCAGGCACACTCGGGGCCCCATGGGCAGCTTCTCATCCTGGTGACAGTCTCTGCCCTGAACCGCACTCTGTGCCAAGGCAGCCATGCCGGCTCTCTTCTGGCGGCCACTGTGACTTCTCCCTGCCCCTCCATCTCGGTGGACAGTGCCTCTCATAGCCACTGCTCCACTGGGTCTGGCCTGAGGAGCCCCCACTCAGAGCCAGCACCTCCCTGGCGGCTCAGGTTTGCCTCTGCCTCCTGACCGTTCCCTGTCTGGTCCTCCTCCTCTGCTCTTTATGCCTCCACTCCGCCTCCTGTGTGGCGGAGGCGCTGTCAGGCTTCTGACTCTCGCTGGATCCCAGAGCAGCACCAGGGAGGAGGGCACATGTAGCTCACGGTCTGGAGGTTCGGGCTCCGAGATGGGCAGCGCCTTCGGTTCAGGCAGCCGGGCGGCTGCAGGGTGGTGAGGGACCACCCTGGGAGAAGAGACACAGGGGACTCACAGCTCTCAGAACCCGTGCTCCCACTGGAACCACCCCTCGAGGCCCTGCCATGACCTCCCCGGACCCTGCCAAGCCACCAATGGGTGGGGTCTGCACCCAAATCCCCCTGCCAAGGCCATGCGCCCACTGGCTGGTACCGGATCTCAGGGCCTGTCACGGGCCGTCTTCAGGTGACACGTGTGCCCCACGTGCAGTTGTCTGCATGCACTGTCCTCCAGGAACAACCCCCTTTTCCCTTCCACTCCTCTCCAAGCCTTGGCCATGTTCTTACACTTACTTAAAACATGTGATAGAGAGCAGACACTGGTTTCTCTCACAGGCGACTGGCTTCTCAGGGCCTTCCCTTAGGGCCGCTGGGGCACACGGGTCGGGGGTGTTGAACACTCATTGCATGGTCAGGGCTCCTCACACCCCCTGCCCCAGGGCAGCCCACACAATCCAGCAGCCACCAGCCTGAGCCTTTTCCCACGAGGCTCTGAAGACAGAGCCAGTGACCAGACCCTGTGGCTCTCACAGACCATCCTGTTAGGAATGCGCTGGGGAGGCCCTGTGGCTTTGGTCTGTGTGGGGATGTGGGGCCAGCCCTGGCCCACCGCTGACTGGGAGCCACCAGGACAGGGGAAAGAGGGGGATGGGCTGAGAGCCTGAGGTGTGCACAGGAGGACCCAAGGCAGGACGAGGGGCAGCCTGGGGTGGGGGAGGGGGCCTGCCTGTCCTGAGTGCTGGTGCCCACCTTAGCAGACCCACGGGTCCTGTGTGACCATACACCTTCAGAGCTTGACCCAAAGCGCCATGCCTGTGTGGTCACCTTGGGCCACATGAGTGGTCACAATGGGGCAAGGCCCCTCCCCCACTCCTGCAGGGCCATTGTGCATCTGACCTGGCATCTCCTCCAGGCCATCTACTTCACGGCCCTATTCCCTTACTTGGTGCTGACCATCTTCCTCATCAGAGGCCTGATGCTGTCTGGTGTCACACACAGGCTCCGCTACCTTTTCACCCACAACATAAGTGGAGGGGGGCAGGGGGCACAGTGGGCAAGGGAGGCGGGCCTCGGGGTCTCAGCAGGGTTGGGACAAGGACTTTGGTCTGGGGTGTGTGGACTGGTGCACCTGCAGGAAGTCCAGGTGCTGACAAGGTAGGAGTGTGGGGGAGGGGCTGGCAGGAATCAGCTGTCACCTGGGGCAGAAACGTCCAGCAGGTGTGGCACACAGGACCAAGGGGCTTCTACTCAGAGCCTGCAGCACTTCTAGACCATTCCATTGGTCCAGGATCCCAAGGGGGTTTCCAGGGCTGCTGACCACCACCAGGAGTCAGCTGCACACCTGGGCATGAGGCTGTCTCCCCAGACACCCAGCAGTAGGCAAATGGGGCAATGGGTGCAAACACCCCTGCCCAGGGGCCTCACACGGTTAAAGCCATGCGTGGGAGAGGATAGGGAGCATGCCCGGGTCGGAGTCAGCTCAGATCTAGTTCTAAGCCCCACCACCGAGTGCCAGCCACACTCTGCCGTGGGCCTGATGAAGCCACAGCTTGCTGGCTGCATCGCAGAACAGGGGAGCCGTGTAAGCTACCACGCCAAGCAAGCTCCCTCCTGGCACAAAGTCCTGAACGGTTCTTGGAATCTGTACAGGTCACACCTGGTTATGGTGTGACCCAAAAGGACCAGGGAATGTTCTAGAACAGCATCTGCTGTGTTCATGTTTCAGAGGCAGATTCTCCAGAACATGTGGGTGTGGATGGATGCAAGCCACCCAGATCTTCTCCCGGTCCCTGGCCTTCAGTGGACACATCGCCTTTTCCAGCTACAATCCATCCAGGTGGGCAGCTGCCCCAGCTTGCTTGGCACCCTGGTGATGCGGTGCCAGCCAGCCAGGGCTGAGCTGGGGATGGTGCTGTGGGACCTGCTGGCCTGGGGTGGGCTCCACCTGGCTTGTCCGTTCCAGGAACTGCTGTGTGTGCCCAGCCTGACTGGCCTGGGGCAGGTCTGGGGCCCACAGGGCACTCAGCACAGATCTGAGCCTTTCCACAAATGGTCAAGGAGTAGAGTGAGGCTGAGGCAGTGGGGAGGGGCCCAGGCTCAGTGGGTGGGGGCCCTCCCGAGGCCCTGAGTGCTCCCGTGTGCAGGAACAACTGTGAGAAGGACACCATGGTCATCTCTCTGATGAATAGCATGACCTCCCTGTATGCCTCTGTTGTCATCTTCTCCATCATGGGCTTCCAGGCCACCACAGACCATGGACAGTGCCTGGGCAGGTGAGGCTGGGCCACGCCATGGGCAGGGGCGGGGCAGGCACGCCAGTGTTCTGAGGACTCTCACTGGAAAAAGGGTCTCAGCAGACGAAACTCGGGTGTGGATGGAGCTGAGGTTGCCCTGGGGAATGTGGGCCCCGAGTAGGGGACAGCCACAGGGGGCAGGAGGGGTGCCCTCTCGAGCCTCTAGGGGGCTGCCACCTGACCCCGTGTGCCCGGGGCCTCTAGGATCACACGCACTATACATGTCTCCACTCTGAGATATGCACGGTGCACAGCCCTAAGGCAGCCCCAGGAAGCCGACGCTGCCTAAGCAACCCTGAGGCCCTCCACCCGACCATCCAGACACGTCTCATTCAGGGAGTTGGGTGGGCTGCAGCCTCTGGCACAGGGAGCTCTGCCCCTGCAGAGTACACATCCCTGGAGGGGGCTTCAGGCACCATGGGTGGGGCAGGGGTCCTGCTGAACCCGTCGGCACCCAGGACGGCCCCCACATGCAGAGCCAATGGGTGGTGCCTATGCCAATCCCACACCGTTCAGAGGGAGGAGGCAGAGGACAGGCCAGCCATGGCCAGTGCGGTAGGAGCCAGTGCCCCAGGAACACTGTGTGAGCGTGTGTGTGCTTCACACGTGTGTGTGTGCCTCATGTGCACCTGTGTGCCTCACATGTGTGTGCACCTCATTTGTGCTTCACTGTGTGAGCCTCACCTCAGCACCACCCTCACCAGTGCAAGAGGGGCTTCTCCAGATCCTTCACCTGGACCCCAAGGACAGGGTCCTGTCACATCCTAGCTGGATTCCCAGAGTTCCATAGAGCATAGCAAGCGGTGGCCATGCTGCACCGTGCAAAGCTGCCTCTCTCTGTTCCAGGGCTCCCACTCCCAGGGTCTCTGCCGACTCTGGGTTAGAGGGTGCTGGGCTGGGGTTCCCACTCCCAGGGTCTCTGCCGACACTGGTGAGGGAGTGCTGGGCTGGGGCTCCCACTCTGGTGTCTGTGCCCACACTGGGGGTGCTGGGCTGGGCTGGGTACCTGGGGCATCAGGATGAGGCTCGCACTTCCTGCCCTGGCTGCACTTGGCCCTTCTCTGCATGGCTGCGTGAGACCCTGCATCATACAAGGCACCAACATGGAGGGGATCATCACGCTGCTCCTGGACATGGGGGTCATCCCCATGGGGATCCCCAAGGAGGCCCTCACAGGTGAGTGCACAGCTCAGCCACAGGGATGCCTGCTGCCTCCTATACAGAGCTCAGGGGCCCTGGGCTAGCCCACTCCCCGAGGACAGCCCAACGGCTCCGGGCAGGACATGGGTGGACCTGCCCTGACCGTGGCCCACTGAGGCCAATCTCTGACCCACCTCTGGCAGGTGGGTGGGGTGGGGGAAAGGGGCAGGTGCAGGCCTCCCACCCAGACCCTGCACCTCAGGGCTGGCCTGCCTGGTCTGCCTGCTCTCAGCCACCTGCTTCATGCTGCAGTCCAGAAGTTACTGGCTGGAGATCTTCGACAGCTACGTGGCCTCCTTCAACCTCATAGTCTTCACCTTCTTCAAGGTGGTGGGGGTCATCTACATCTACAGCCTGCAGCAGTGAGCTGAGGTCCACGGGAAACCCGGGGGGGTGGGGAGGGCCCCGCAGCGCCACTGTGCCCAATGTCTGTGCAGGTTCTGTGATGACATTGTGTGGATGATGGGGCAGCAGCCAGGCCTCTACTGGCGGGCGGTGTGGCTCGTGGCCAGCCCCCTGCTCCTCCTGAGTGTCTTCCTGGCCTACCTCGTCCTGCTGGCCCAGAGGACACTGAGCTACTAGGCCTGGAACCCTCAGCACGTAGGTCCTCCCACGGGGATCAAGGGGCCGCAGTGACCTGCAGGGTGACCCTGGTAGGACCGGAGCCTCTCGAGGGCCTCAGAGCAGTGTCCAGACCCTGGAGACATCAGTCCTTCCAGCCCGCACTTTCCACGTGGACAGCCAGCTAAGGAAGCGACAATTCTAGTGTCTGGGAGAGGTCAGGAGGCAGACTGGCGAAGGGTCACTCCCTGCCTGGTCCACACAGGGGACTATGTAACACCTGGCCTGGGCCGCCCCTCCAAGTGAGCACCAGAACCCCTCAGGGTCCGCCTGGGGGAAGTGAGAATTTTCTGCTTTATCCTGGGGTCTCAGACCACACCTCACCTGTCCACAAGTGTTGGAGGCCAGTGGGTGGGGACCACATGCCCCTGCCTTCCCTGAGGGCTTCCACCCAGAGGGAGCCTCAAGCCCCAGTTCCCTCATCCCTGAGCACCCACCCAGGATGCTGCCCTCCTGTAGTCCCAGGGAGGACTGGGGCTGCCTCCGTGCACAGGTGGTCGGGTCAGCCTCGCTCTGCTCAAGGCCTGGGGTCTGGAGCCAGAGGTCTGACCACTCCAGGCTGAGCTCTCTCTCTCTCTTGTGCCCCCTGCAGGAGCAGTTCCCCTCCAGGCAGGAGAAACTCTACCCTGGCTGGGTGCAAGCCATCTGCATGCTCCTGTCCCTACTGCCTGCTCTGTGGGTCCCGGGCATTGCACTGGCCCGGCTGGTGGCCAAGTGTAGGAGGCAGCAGCAGGATGAGTGGCTGGACAGCAGCCTGAGGCTGTAAGACAGCAGGGCCCACTGAGGGGCAGGGATGGCCGTGGGTGACCTCATCACACCCTGCCACCAACTCTGCAGGACCCTTGGCTCCCCATGTCTTGGGCCTGCTCTATCCAGGGTCCACTCTGCCCTCAAATGGGAGGCAGAGTCCACCCAGGGGCACACCCAGTTCCTGGCTGCCATAGGAGTCCCTCTGTGACAGTGCTGCCCACACAGCCTCAAGCTGTGATGATGGACAAAGGGCAGGCATGCTGACAGCAGGCCAGGCCCTGCACAGCTTCCCTGCCAGGAATCCAGCCCCAGGCTGACCCCCAAGTCCAGCCCAGGATAGGGGGCAGGAGTCATCTGCACACATGTGAGGGGGACACACGAGTGCTGGGAGCCCAGCCAGGGAGGACTCAGAGACACCGCCAGTGTCAGCACCCATGCTCAAGGGCAGAGGCTGCTGAAGTCAGATTTCCTACCGTGGGGCCTCTTGGCCACTCCCTCCAGGTCCCCAGCCGCCCTCCACCCACCAAGCACCCAGGCAGTCAGCCCCCACCTGCCCACCCCACCCCCACTTCCTTCTGACCACTGACCTCGGCCTCACACTGCCAGACCAGTACCCACAGAGCCCCTAGCCTTTTCCCAGTGCCCTGCAGAAACACACAGCTGGCCACACCCCCTATGGCACCTGGCAAGGCATGTGTGTGTTATCACTCAAGGAGCATCTGTGCTGGGAGCAGCTCTCGCCACCATGGGTGTGACCAAGGCCCAGCAGCAGAGGAGCTGAGAGCTAAACACCCACTCAGCCCCAGCGCTCCATGCACGTCTGAGCCCACAGTGGGGGAGGCTGGCACTTAGCCCTCCATCATGACACCCCCTCCCCACGCCATGCTGACAGGTGGCAGTGAGCATGGGGTGTCACACAGGGGAGCCCATACCACAGGGGGCATCCCAGGGCTCAGCCCCGTCTTGCTAGCTTGGACATCACTGCTGACAGCAGCTCTGAGCAGACAGCCGAGAGGACGGGAGCTCGCGGGACCCACAGGCATCTGCCCACTCTCAGCTCTGCCCTGCGGTGTCCCTTTGGCCAGCCCCCCCTTCCGTATGCTGTAGAGACCTCACGGTTCATGACCTGCCCTCTGCACAGTAGACAGTGCTGGCAGGGCCCCCACAGGGCTGGGAAGTGAGGGCAACGCTGTCCCGACACTGCCGTTGTGGCCTGCAAACCCTACCACTGCCCTGAATGGCTCCGGGGCTGCCCTTCCTGACCACACCTCACCTGGCCACCTCGTGCCCAGGAGCTTGGCCTGGAGGGGCCCTCAGGGGCTGGCGGTGGTGGTGTCAGAGCCCTGGTTCAGTGGCCAAGAGGGAAGGGGTGGGGCATGGGGACAGAGACCCAGTGGACACCCAGCCTCCAGAAAACTCAGCCATGGATGTGTGGACAGATGGACACTCATGTGAATGTGGACATGGCCCAGGGGCTGCAGAGGGCAATGGTCGACCAGCGTGACACCCCCATGGGCATGAGCCCTCCATGTGATGTCCCTGACTGGCAGGGGCTGGCACAGGAGCAGATGCTGCCCTCATGTGGCCAAAACAGAGGAGTCCACAGAGGGCCCCTCCCTCCTGGACAACGTGTTCATGGGCAACAGCCCCCAGGGCAGACAGGGCCACCACCACCACAAGGTCACCCAATGGGGGACTACAGTTAGCACGACCAGGAGGGGGCGCTGGGGAGCAGGGCACAGCCATCTTGTTTTTTGGGGGGCGCTATCCCTCACAGTCACAGCAGCCCCCACAGGTGACTGTAAGCCTGCCCCCTGGGGGTTCCGCCCCGTCTCCCTCTCCCTGCCCCGCCCCTGTCAGGAGCTGCTCACTGGGAAGGCCAGAGCTTGGGCAGCAAAGAGGCTGATGCCGTTTCACCTGTGGGGATCATGTGCCCACAAAGTGGCCACTCAACACTGTATCCCCTGTAGGTACTGGCTGGAGTCCTGGCTGCCCTGCTCCCACCCAGCTCCCTAATGGCCTTGGAAGGCAGCAGAGGATGCCCAAGCACCTGGGCCCCTGCTACCCATGTGGGAGACCCCGATGGAGCTCCTGGCTCAGTGTTGGCCATGGCAGCCACCAGGGGAGCAGGTGGATGGAAGCTCTCTCCCCCTCCCTGTCACTCTCAAATGAACCAATAAATCTGTGAATTATGAAAGCTCAGCTTTTCCAAGGTTTGGCAAACTCAGTGAAGCCTGAGAACCTGAGTGACAGTACAGCAGGGCCTGGGGTTCCCCATGGGCACAGCGGCTTAGTCACCAGGATGGTCTGGGGTCCCATGGGCACATTGGCTCAGTCACAGGATGGCCTGGGTTCCCCTGGGCATGTTGGCTTAGTCACCAGGAAGGTCTGGGGTTCCCGTGGGCACATCAGCTTAGTCACCAGGATGGTCTGGAGTCTTCCTGGGCACATCAGCTTAGTCACCTGTATGGTCTGGGGTGCCCTGGGCATGTCGGCTTAGTCACCAGGAAGGTCTGGGGTCCCTGTGGGCACATCGGCTTAGTCACCAGGAAGGTCTGGGGTCCCCTGGGCACATTGGCTCAGTCACAGGATGGCCTGGGTTCCCCTGGGCATGTTGGCTTAGTCACCAGGATGGTCTGGGGTCGCCGTGGGCATGTTGGCTTAGTCACCAGGACAGTCTGGGGTCCCCTGGGCACATTGGCTTAGTCACCAGGAAGGTCTGGGGTCCCTGTGGGCACATCGGTTTAGTCACCAGGATGGTCTGGGGTCCCCTGGGCTTGTCGGCTTAGTCACCAGGACATCTTTTGAATGCAGCAGCAAAGGGGCACATCCCGTGCCATAAAACCCAGCACGAGGTGCCAGGAGCCCTGTCCAAGGTCCATGTCCATGACCCCATCTGTGACATCCCGTTAGGTTCTGGAATTGCTCACAGCAGCTGAAATGTCACACAGGTGCCTGCTCTGCCAGGCTTCAGGCTGCCCAAGCCACCCCTGTGGCTGAGGCCACTCCTTCACCAAATCCCCCCCAGCACTGCCCTTCCTGCTCTCAGTAGGGTCCTCAGGTCACATTAGGCCCCCTGTACGCTGGGGCCTGCCGGGGGAAGGGGGCTCCCTACTCATCCTCATCAGGCACTAGGCAGCGCCACGCTGCCTGACAGATACGTGGCTCTAGCACATGAACAACACTCCTCCACAGCGGCCACGTGTCCTCCTGCCCTGGCATCTGAGGACAGGAGGGGAGTCCACACACACTGCACCAGACACTGGCTCCAGAGGACCACTGCAGGGACGGAGGCAGGGACGGGGCAAGGGGAGGCCTGGGGGGGCTGCACAGTGGACACCTTGGGTCAGGGATGCTCAGCCTGGACTTTGGATGAGGGGGTGGGTAGCTTGCTGCTCCCAGGTACATGTGGGTCAGCGCCCTGGGGCCTCCCCTCACTCAAGCTGGGCAGCTTAACCAAGCACACAGCACAGGGCTTCCCTTGGCAGCCCTGGATCACTCGGGGGTGATGAGCAGGCCCGGGGCAGGGCACATGCTCACAGGCCCACGGCCCATGGCCAGGTCTTCCATGAGCTTCCTCCTGGCTGTTCATGATGGGGTCTTGAGAGGACTCAGTGGTGGGCTCTGCTCCCCTGACAGTAGGGAGGGGACTGACCTGAAGGAAGAAGGCCCCAAGGACAGGCCCTGCCCTGTGTCACAGATGACCCCTCCCCCAACAGCGATGTGCCCGGCTCCTCTAGCCTCAGTCCAGGATGGTCTTGAAGACTGCGGTCAGGGCCGGGTCAGCTGCAGCCTCCAGGGCCTCCCAGTGGACGTCGCCCAGGCCCAGCACAGAGGCACCCAGCAGGCTGGGCCGCTGCGCCTGCTCGTAATTGAGCATGCTGAACAGAGTCCTGATGTGCGAGGTCCAGGACCGGGCCTGGAGCACACAGGATGCAGCTTCAGGGGGGCTGTAAAGGGTGGGCAGCCACAAGCCCACCCAGCTTCCCAGGGTCCTGGGAGAGCCCACTGCAGAGCCGGCCTTCAGCCCACTGGCCGGGCTCCTCAGGGTTCCTGTCACTGCACCTCAGGAACCCTCACCCAGCAACACATGTGACCCTCAGGGATGCTAGCCATCCATCCAGCTCCAGCTGAGCAGCTGCCTGGGGCTGGGGTCCGCAGCACCCCCCCCCCCCACAGAGGCCAGGTCCTTGGAGTGACTGCAGCAACGTTAACTGATGACAAAATCACCCCACCGTGGCAGAGGCACCAGCAGCCATGGGGGCAAAGCCACAGAAAGAGCCACAGGGGGCGGGGGAGCCATGGGACGAGTCCTGTGGTCCTCAGGGGGCAGCGACAGCTGTTCTTCCCTCCCCTCCATGCGGCGCCATGGCAGGATTCTGAGGGCCCTGGCCAGTGCCCCCTGTGGGCTCCCAGGCCCAGCTGGGCACCTCCCCCAGCTCCTCGTCCACTCACAGCAGGACCCGTCTTTGAGCACACAGGCACAAGCCTGTGAGCTTTTGTGTGGGGCAAGATGGAGGCCAGGTCACCTTCTCCCTGCGGAACGTTCTGGCTCCCACCACAGAGTCCGGGTTCACAATGGGCCGCAGCCCACTGGGCTTGGGGATGAAGCACAGTCTGGCCATGGGCAGGGCCAACCTGGCCTGCTGCTAGACCTCTGCATCCGACAGCTCCCGCAGCTGTACCTGCTCCAGGTGCTGCCTGCAACACACCTGGGGCTGGGGTCAGGACCGGGGTCAGAGGGGGTCAGGGCCGTGGGCAGGGCCGACCTGGCTGCTGCTGGACCTCTGCATCTGACAGCTCCTGCAGCTGCACCCGCTCCAGGTGCTGCCTGCAACATGCCCGGGGCTGGGGTCAGGGCTGGGGTCAGGGACAGGGTCAGGGCTGGCCTGGCCTGCTGCTGGACCTCCGCGTCTGACAGCTCCCACAGCTGCACCCACTCCAGGTGCTGCCTGCAACACGCCCTGGGGCTGGGGTCAGGGAACCTTGGTCCCCGTGGACACAGCACACTCTGTGGGACAGACACCTCCCAGGAACCCCCACATGGGGGCCTGAGGCTCCCATCCCACACCTGGCATGACTCGGCGTAATCAGTCCTGATCCCTCAGTCTGACTCAGCAGAACCAGGAGCCAGCATCTCCACCACTCAGGCCCCATCCCCTGATGCCACCCCCACCAAGGTCATCCAGAGGGGATGCCTGTACCCCCAGGTGTCCCTGCAGGAGGGGTCTCTGCGACTCACGACCCAAGTCCCTCAGAAGCGCCCTGAGGGGACTGAGCCCAAGCATGAGCATATAGGGTATGGGCCAGCACAGGGTCTCTGCAGGCCAGCACAGGGCTACCATGGGCCAGCACAGGGCCTCCCCTCCACAGGCCAGTATGAGGCCTCCCCTCCGTGGGCCAGCACAGGGCCTCGCAGCCTGTGGGGAGCCGGGACATGGATACCACACGCGGTACCTGATGCCCACGCTTTGCAGCCTGCTCCAGACGCTCCTGTGGTAGAAGAG